ACACAGACCCTGGCCTTAAGAAGGGCCCAGCCCTTGGTGCAACACCTGCTATTTGGCATTTTTACTAATTTTGGAAGAGAGACATTTCATTTTCAAAGCAAGCTGAGTTTCTTGCTTATTTCCTTTCTTATTTCCTAAGATGCTCCATCCTCCTCTGCCACCCCGGTCTGTATTCCCACCAGGGTCCTGAGTGTAACTGTAATTGTAATTGTAATTGTAATTGTAATTCACTGTACCTTTTGCTACTTGAAACTGTTTTTTCCACTGGGATTTTGTCACAGTGACTCCTCACTTGGTGCCAGAGTTAATTATTAGTTTGTTTGTTTGTTGGGATGGGATCTTAAGTAGCCCAAGCTGGCCCCAAACTCAACTGCGGAGCTGAAGGTGACCCTAAGCCTCTGATCCTCAGCCAGCCTGGCTTATTTTAGGGTTTTTTTTTTCTTTTGCATATTTCCTAACTGGTTCTGGGATGCGGGTAGGAGGACTCAGTGCAGCTGTAATGTTGACACACAACAAGCAAATCCTCTGTGCCACTTCTCCTGCCTGATGGTGGCAGAGGTCTCGGGGCATTTATAGTGGTTGGCAGCACTTCCCTGATCAGTCTGCTGAAGACAAGGATCCAGACAGAAAGGCAGCTGGGAACCCTTCCTGGAAAGGACCCTGCCCAGCTCTTCAGGGGTCCCTGGCAGCCAGTCCTCTAAGCTCTGAGAACTGGTTCCTCGATTTCAGAGCCATTTATAGCAATGAGAAGTCACCTCAGCCATCCCCCTGCGTCCCCACCCCATCCTCCCCGCTCTGGGCCCAACTTCTAACCCCTTGCTGATGACTCTCCCGCCAACGGATCTCAGTCAAAAAGCTGCACTTGCCAAGCCTCAATTCCTCATGTATAAAGTAAAGGTTTGTGGAGAACAAGTTCACAGATAAAGCTCCAGGTTCTTCCCCCAGCACAGAAGGGAAGAAAGAGACCACACGGATGGCCAGGCTGAGTCTTTTGTCCTCCATAGCCCTGGTTCCCCTCTAAAACAAATTGTGACCTTGGTAGTTGTTTTGTATTCTTAGAAAACCTTGAACTATTGTCTGCTCACATCCTGTCAAAGCACAACGCCTGTACATTTTTAAGATTCGAGGGCATTATCCACAAGGTGAACAAAATCAAAGTCAACAACGAACTCCCAGGTAGGCTCAGCCTAAGCTCTCCTGCCTGTGTATCCTTTTAGCTATTTATTTATCAAGGGATTTATTGGCACTAACTGCTTAACATCTGTCACTTGACACCCTCTCCACCAGTGTGTGATCAGATCAAACCGACTGGGACAAACCTCATCCCAGCCAAGAGGGCCAATTGAACCAAACCACCAGATGGCTAATCAGGGAGGTCTTCAGAGAACATTGTTCAGATGGGGTGGGGGTGGGAGTTGTCAGATCAAATTGAAGTTCTGCTGTGCACACAGCCACTTGCATTCAATATCAATACTTGGGAGACCAAAGCAAGGAAGACTAAATTTGAGGCTAACCCACGCTAGCCAGACCCTGTCTCAGAACCAGGAACAAGAAAACACAGTGACCTGTGGAATATTCCTTGACACCATGTGAGTAAAAGTCACTGTGTTTGGTTTCGTAAAGAAGCTGACTTGCCAATAGATGGACAGTTAGAAGTTATGCGGGACTGGCAGACAGACAAAAAGAAAGCATGAGGAAGGGGAGGAGGAGGAGTTTCTGGAGTCTCTGGGAGATGCAGAGGAAGCAGGAGATGAACTCGCCGTACTGAGAAAGGGTACTGAGCCATGTGGCAGAGCATAGGTAAGAAATATGGCTTAATTTAAAATGTGAGAGGTAGCCAGTAACAAGCCTGAGCTATTGCAGGAGAATTTATAATTAAGAATAAATCTCTGTGTGGTTATGTGGGAACTGGCTGGCAGGAAAGAAAAGTCTGTCTACAATGACCCATGTCAGCCCCTTCAAAAATGACTCCAGATGAGAAGCTACCTTCCGACCACAGCTGCTGCTTGTGGTCTATTCACATCTGTTTCAGATGCAGAAGTATTTTGAAAATTTTCTGACTAATTTGTGGCTGTTTTGGTGCACAACTCTGTGCACAACTGTGTGCTGGGAAGCCCTCTAACTGATGAGAAGCCATGCTGACCATCGAGTGTGTGCATGACGAAAGGATGCCATCCCCCAGGTGGCACAGAGTTAACAGACAAGAGTTTCTGCCGGCAGTGGGGGTAGCAGGGGACACAGAGGAAGAGGGGCACTTTCATTTGCTGTGTTCTGGACACACCTGTACTTGACTGTGAACATTAATAACATATACATGTTATTAATTGCATGATATGAACACACAGTTAATGGTTGGCAGCATTTCACAACACTCCTCATCCTCTGTCAAATTTAAAGGGGAAAGTAAAACGTGTCTTTCTGTAGGCGAGTTTTTCCGCTGAGTCCGTCCGCTCCCCAATAACCACACAGAGACTTGTTATCAATTATAAATGTCGAGCCAATAGCTTAGGCTGGTTACGAACTAGCTCTTACAACTTAAATTAACCCGTATTTCTTACCCATGCTCTACCACATGGCAGTACCTGTTTTCAGCATGCCAGACTCACCTTCTCCCCACGCCTCCTATCGACTCCCCGTGACTCTACCCTTCTTCGCAGCATTCTCTCTGTTTGGCTCTCCTGCCTAACCTCTGTTTGCCTAGCTATCGATCAGTCAGTCAGCTCTTTATTAATCCAATCAGAAGGTGCCTTGGGAAAGACACATCTTCACAGGATACAAAAAGATTATTGCACAACATTTTTCTCTTACCCAAGACCCATACAGCAAAAGTCACAATCTGTTTCTATGAAGCCGGAGCAGGAGGCTTAAGAGAATGAAGGAGACCCAGCCACAGGGGCACTGTGGGAACTAGGGGGCCCTCTAGATGAAGCGCTGTCAGGAGGCCACTCTGAACCTAAGGGCTTGGACAAGACATCTTGGAGACATGTCAGATAAAACACCCGCTCTTGTGCACAGGGCACTAAGTACAGGCCCTTTCCAAGGTCTGTGGCAGAGACTGCTCCCAACAGTCCTAAGATGGGCACTATTAGCATCTTCATTTTATAGGTGAAAAACTGCAGCTCAGAGAGGTTGAGCCACTGATCCTAGATCACACAGCTGGACTTGCAGGGCCAGTTTGACTGAGAACTATATCCTTAATTAGTATTTATTCCTTGAACACCTCAAGCCATAGTACTCTACACCGGGCCATCTTGCTTCAGACACTCTTATAAACCACGATAAACAGAACGCACACATATCCAGTATGTTTTCTGACTGTAACAGCTTAGCCTAGCTGAACGCAGTTAACACATCATGGGAATTTTAGCTAACACTAGTAAGTTTTATTCTTTTGGGTTGATGAGACTGAATCTGGGGACTAGCCTGGAGCTTACCATCCTGCCTCTGCTTCCCAAGTACAGGGGCTATAAGCCTGAGTCACAGTGCCTGTCTTGCGGACTGCTGGAATGGTTTCTTTGGAGTACGAACGCATAGTATAAAAACTGCCCAGTCATCCCCATGTTCCTCCAAGCCTATCCCCCCTCCCACTCTCAGATGGCCACTGACCTGTTCTGGCTCTCCAGAACTTTGCCTATTTTTGGCATTCTGTGAAAATGAAATCCTGAGGCACATTGTATCTGTGGCTGGCGTTTTCCCTTTGGCATGGCAGACTTGTCCTAGATGGAGGGGTCAACTTGTTCCTTTTAAAAATGATCTTATTATTATTGTAGGGCACATGTGCAGGCCAGAGGATGCCTTTGTGGAGACGGTGGTTCTTCCTTTTCCTCTCTCCCTGGGTCCTGGGGTTAGAACCCCAGCACTCAGCTTGTACAGCAAGTGTTCTGCCTCCTGAGGTGTCTCCTCAGCCCCGGATGGCCCCTTTAATCCCTCATGAGTGGGTTCCACTCCAGACCTGTGCCACAGTCTGAGGTTACAATCCCCGGGTGACAGACATCTGTATGAATATTTGTTTCTTCTTATTCGAGTCGTGTGTGTGTGTGTGTGTGTGTGTGTGTGTGTGTGTGTGTGTGTCAGGTTCTCATGTGGTCAAGACTGGCCTCCTGAGTGCTGTAATTACAGACCTGCACCACCATGTCAAGATCACAGTTTAGTTTTTTTTTTTTCTTTCTTAAATTATAAAAACAAAGGGGTTCATTTTGGCTCACAGATCTGGAGGTCCAAGGTATACCAGCAACTATGCCAGCAAGGCCATCCTGTGGGCTCAAGCACACAGCAGTGCAGAGAGCCCGGTGAGAGAGAGTGAGCTGGAATTGAGATGGGAGTCTGCTGCTCTTGAGAGCTATGGGAGTGGAGTTGCTGGGCAACCTGGTTTGTGTACTTCCCCAGTCTGTGAAAGTACCGAACTACTTTCCACAGAGGCTGCTTTCACGTTCACAACAACAATATAGTAGGGTCATTTAGAGGGCTACTTCAAGTGAGTGTTAACTTCCATAGTCCTTTTCTTGTTTAAAGCCATCGCATAAGCATCGGTCTTCCAGATTTCACCCATTCTGCTGGGAGGAAAAACAAAGGATGCATGAGCCCTCGGCATGAAACAGCAGCAGCCACACTCCACAGTCTGGAAACTCAAAACTCCTGGAAAGCCCTGCAAAGTTGTCATTCCACAAAGGACTGGCCTGAGCTCCCCGAGCCAGGCTGATGGACTCGGCAGGTTCCTCAGCCCCGCCTACTCTGCTCCAGGAGGCGGGACTCAGAGAGGGAGGCGGGGCCTAGGGGCAGGGATGCGAGCAGGCGGCTCCGGATAGCCCCACCTACCCAAAGATAGACAGCTTCTGACGAGGGCGGAGCTGATGGGTGGAGCCCAGAGCGTGTGCTCCGCTCTAAGCCCCGCCCACCCCGGGGCTAATCTCCGCTTCGGGGGCGTGGTCTGGATAGGGTGGGGCGGGCCAGGCAGGGCGGGCTCCGGGCCCCGCGCCCAC